ACCACCTTGTTTTCCAAGCTTAAAATACTGGAGCTAGCTATTAATTCCAGACAGTTGAAAGACACACAATCCGCCCATGACCACAGAGCTCCTAAAAGAGAAAGGGCAGCCATGGAAAATGTCAGAGGCATAAAGCTGTGTAAGTACCAAATCACATGGGCCTGTGGCTTGCTAGACAGATAACACATATCAATCTTTACTAGAGAACTTGGTACACCTTCTTTTTCCTGGAAATACCCCGAAGCTGCAAGGTGCCATTGGTACAGCACAGGTGTGGGCACTGGTACTGCTCCTGGAAGGCCAGTTCATGTCTAGATGACGAGATCATGGTGTTCTCTAGTGTTTAGACTGGAAACGTGTACCTTCTAGGGACTTTGTGCTGTGGAGTTGTGTATTGCCAGCATCTATCTTAGTGTCTGGAACACAGTACATGTGCTTTTATAAACATGTATTAAATGTTTGAAAACCCAGTAATGTTAGGGGGCGGGGAATTTGCTTGGCAATTGGGGAAGAATTTATGTGGTTCTCAAATACTTCACACAAAGCTGAGGAAGAACTGAAGGGTAACAATCTGTCTGGGTTTTCAGAACCTCTTTCTGTGTCCTTTCCTTCATGATCCCTAAGGTGTGGAGGAGAAAGGCAACTGGCAACTGCCCCAGAATCCCCCAGGGAGACCAAGGAGCTGCGAGGCTCCTCTCTCCCTGCCTCCCTGCCTCCCTGCTCTTCTCTGAGCCTTTCCCGTTCTCTGCCTCCCGGAACTACATGGAAGGCCTAGTCAGACAGGCGACAGCTTGCTGATAAGGCCACAGAGACCATATCACCAGACATGTCATCCTGCATGGTACAAAGAGTTACTACCATCACGCATCTGTTTTCAGTTCACCAGTACAGGCTTGGGCCCAAACACATCAAACAATCACCACTAATGCAACATTTCCATAATTTTGGGGATGAGGACTTTATTGCAGAAGGCATGTTTCCTTAACACTTGCAAGGCATCTAATTTGTAAGTGAAAAAGAAGTTTCTTTTCTTAAAAATAAGTTGCCTTAAGCTACAAACATTCTCATTCTCTTTTTGGGGATTTTTTTTATTAGTATAAGACATAGTCATGCTGAGATAGTAGGAAATCACAATCCAGAGGTGAAAAGAATCTCGAGAGATCATCCACTTCCATTCTCAGTGGGCTTCTAACAGGCTGTTTTAGAAAGTTGGTTATTTAGCTATTACTGATGCAACCAGACAGAGAGACTTCACATTCTCCCCTTACTGCCTATTTCTAGTGTTTCGTCATCCTCGCTGTGCCTAATCAAAATGTCCCCTGTTTCAAATTAAGTCAATTTCCTCATTTTACTCCTGAAAAAGATTCAGGACAAGCAACCAGCGCCTTGAATCACGATCCGTAGTATAGTCTGGGCTCGAAGAACCAAAGGCTGTCAGCTACATCCCAAGGGGCCAGGGATGCTTTCTTTTCAGCCGTGTGTTAAAATGCCCACTCCTCAGATTTCTCCCAAGTAAGGAGGTCCAGCAGGCTAGGGGTGCCACTGTGGTCTGAGGTTAGCAGGTAAACTGAGCCCAAATCCAGGTAAGCCACCGCGGCTTCAGAGCATGCGTCACCGCGCTGGCGGGGCCCGTCTGTGCTGGGAAAGGCCGCTCCCTGGGCAGCACACTGTCCTACTCAGGGCCTTCCAGGTAACGGCCCTGCTCAGTTAATAGTCCTGACCTGAAGGTTTAAAATCCAAGTTCAGCCATTTGCAGGATAATTCTAAATTATAAATAGTAGTATGTCTGGCTAAAATATATATGCCAGATAACTTCCCACAGCAGAAATCCAAACAGTGACAGATTATCTTCCCATGCCATTTTAAAAATTAAAATGAATAGAATATAACACTATTATGTGTACTAAAAAAAGGGGAAATGTTGATCCGAGATTTAACCTACATATAAACTTAGCGAGGCCAGAGCTTTGGTCCAGTCTGAACGGACGCCCTGAGCGCCCGCTGTGTGGCAGCCGCTTCGCAGAGGCCTTCTCCAGCCCCCACAGCGACTCTCCCCCCTCAGGATCCGGGCGCTGCAAGCCGACCCCTCACAGAGGTGACTAAGTTGCCTGAGGTCATTCAGCTGGCGGGAGAGCCTGAATCAGCTGTCTTCTAGATGCGATGCTTATAGGACCAAGCTACCACTTCAAAGAGGCCATAAGCTGAATCTAAGACCAGAACCTAGCCCAACAGAGGGAAAAACGCTTTGGCAAGGAGTTGCTACCGTTGGTCCTGTTCCCAGCTAGCAAGCTGAAACTGAACTGGGGCCTTGAATCTCGTAGGTTCTAGCCAAAAGGCCCAGAAGCATCCTTCCAGCAGAACACGGGATGTCTCCCGAGCTGGTGTCCTCCCGCTGGTGGCACTGCACACCTCTCTTCTCAAAGATGCAGCTATGAAGGTGACTCCACTGAGTAGCCCAGCAGGACGTGCGAATCACATTAATAATTCACATGTGAACCTTCTGATGACTTGTTCAGATTTTTAAAATACTGATTTGAGTGATCAGACAGCATTTTAGGGAGCCATACATAGGAGCTGACCTATCATGAGTTTCATTTTGATGATCCTTCTTTGAAGTCTTCACATCAACAAGGCTTTTTATGAATGTAATAATTTAAACCAATTTTCTTTGTGATTTGTATTTTAACTTGGACCAGGATTTTTAAGTTCCCTCAAGGAAGGTATGATAAACAAAATATAATGAAGACTAAAAATGCTCATCGGATTTTAAAAAAATACAAGTCAGGTGACTTTAGTGAGAAGCATTTGAATGCAGCAATGGAGCCAGAAGCCAGATTTGGCACAGGCTGAAGAAAGGATAGGGGAAAGTAAAGAAACAAAAGAAGAAAAAAAATTAAAATAAAATAAAAACAAACCAAGGAAATATACGTGATGCACACAGTACTTTGGATCTGCACCCGGGGTCTGTGGATACAGAGAGCCAACCGAATGCACTGTTCTAAGCCATTTTACATGAGTGAGACTTGAGCTTCCGCAGAGTTTGGTCGTCTATCAGGGGTCCTGAAACAAGTCCCCTGTCGATATTGAGGGATGGCTATAGTTAAGTTACTGGAGAGCCAAAAGTTACATGTGGATTCTCAACTGCACGGGAGTGGTGACGGGGTTCAGTTCCTCTAACCTCCACATTGTCAAGGGTCAACTGTAATATGTAGACAATTTTTTTAAAAACTTTGGTTCTAGAGAAAAGGAGAGAGCTAGAATAGTATCTAGAAAAGAAAGTTAGACACAAGGTGGGTATAACTCCTATCTAAGATGAAATACTTGAGTCCAGAGTTTAGAAATAATTAGGAATATAACTTTTTATCTTATAATAAATATATTCATATTTGTATACTAATAGTGTTATAACAAAGGATAAGTTGGCCTTTTGGAACAACCACTAACTTACATTTTAAACCAAACATGACTAACACATAAATCTAAACATATCATTACCTTCCATTTAACTTTTCTCAACAAAAGGTAATTTAAAAAAATATGCTAAAGACAATTCATAACAGACTGACATCTTTCTCCTTTCCTCATTGCTTAAGGTAAGAAAATCATAAGTAGAACTTAAAAAGTTTAGTATTCTTATACCATATACTTTATATACAATAATGACATCAGGGCTCTGCTAGAAAACAGTGTATGAGTCATGAAATTGTCTCTAGGAGTAATAAACATTCCACACTCACAAACCCTGCAACCAGGCACCTACATGGACGAAATGGCTTGGTAGAGCACCAATTTATCAATAAAATTTCCCTATTGTAATTTAGAAATCAAAGCTAAAATGCCAATATACTCATTTAGTTTTAAACCAGTAATGGTAAAATCAGGCAAACCCAAAGAGCGTTTGATATCGAACAAGATGAATTTGTGACATAAAATGTAGAAAACTGACCAACAAAGTACAGATGGAGATTGTCCAATTTCATGATAAGATTGCTAGCATTAGAGGATTTGCAATGAAGCTGGTAACTGATCCTTTAAAATGTTATTCTGATCCTTTTAAAATACTTACTCTTTGAGAATTACTGAATAGACTATATTCAAGAAGGTTTTTAGAGGGTGAGCCAAAATAAAAAGTATAAATCCAGTTCAAAGAAGTAAGCCAGCAGGTCGTGTGCGGCAGGGTCTACCACAGGAGAAAACAATGTTAATGTAACCCAGTCTCTGGCAGGTCCCAGGTCCAGGGCCCAGGGCCCGGCAGAAGGCTGTGGGGGCAGCCTGGTTTCTGCAGAAAGGTCTGCACGGTGGACATGCTTCTATCCAGGACTCACACTATCCCTCTCATCACATTCCTCCAGTTACATATCCTTTAAATACTCCCAGAGTCAAGAGTAACATTAAAATTTTTGTGTTTCATCATTCCAAAGCAACTTACCAAATTAGTCTAGGTAAAGGGTGGGGCAAAAGTAGGTTTACAGTTGTGAGCATGCAAAACACAGAGTTTATTATTGTATTTTTATTTATTAAATATTGTATTATTTATTTGTATTGCAACTGTACACCTGCTCTTTTCCCACCCTGTATATAACAAAAATTATCAGAGAATTGAAAAAAAAGTTGATCTAATATTCAATTTATTAAAGAAGTATTAATGGCTAAACTGCAAGGTTGATTGTGTTGTTTTGGCAGAAATTGTCATCATACCTCCTGCTCCTATGCAATAATTTGTCTGAACAATAAGTGAATTGTCAGGTGGTATGCAGAACAAAACTTAAACACTAAATATGTGTAATACCTGTATGGAAGAAGCTTATACTTAAAAGCTAAAAGTCCTCTTTAATGATGTTCAAAAAATGAATTTTGTATCACTGTATTTTCTGAGCTTTACCAAAAGACCAATTTGTATTTATATCAAATGCAACGTTCTAAATAGATTTACAATGTCCTCTTTCTCCCAAAATAAAGACTATTATAATATAATGTGTGTAGAAATATAAATTACTTACCGCTATGATATCTAACGTATTATCACAGACCTTCCGGATTTCGTTATTTTTGTCATGCATCAGATCTATGAGGTATGCTGGAGCCTCTGAATAATAGTGGTTAAAGATATGAACAACATTAGAGATTGAGGCTATTCCATCTTATTAATAAATCCCACATTTCTCTAAATTCAAATGATAATTTGTAATTTAACTTGACATTTTATTTTTTGTTGTTGTTCAAGTATAGTTGTCTCCATTTTTCCCTCACCACTTCCCCCTACCCATCCCCTAACTCCCTAACTTCAAATTTTAAAGTAATATAATTAGTATAAGATGACCAGAAACATTTCATGTTTCATTTGCTTAGGGAAGGAGGATGAGGAAGAAAAAAACACCCTAAATAAAAATGGGTAAGAAAAACAGCCAGTAAATTTTAGGAAGTACACAGCCATTCTTTCTGAAAACATGAAAACTGTGCCAAGCACTGCAGAGGGCGCTCCACAGCTCTGCGGCTGTGAAGGCTTCCTTGATCTCTCTGGCCTGCTAAAAGTTCAGGAGAGTTAACTTCACACAAAATTAACAGAAAAAAATCACAGTCAAATTCCATATATAATTATTAGAAAAAGGAGAAAACATAAGACATTTTCACATAAAGGGTAAAAACTGCAATCTAGTTTTTCAAAAAGAGATAAAAGAATTTAAGAAAACAATAGTATATGAAAGAACTTATAAGTCAGAATTAGAAAACTTTGAAATAAAATGATTCAGGAAAGAACTAAAAGTAAAACATCATTTAAGATATATAAAAACTAAATTTGTAACAACACAAGAGTAAATAGAAATAACAGATAAAACTTTAATAAAAATAGAAGGTAGAAAGGAAGAAAATTTCTTTAAGAATAAATGAAACAAGATAGAAAATTAGAAACGAATATTAAAGAGAGGCAAAGAAAATCCAACATAAGTCTCAAAGAAGACAACCAAAGCAATAGAAAAGGACAAATATTGAAAACTATAATTCAAGAAAACTTTCCTGAAATTAAAACACAGACAAAACTGCATACTGAAAGAGCATATTTGCACACTTGAAAAAAATCACGCAAGGACGACCAATACCAAGTCCAGCTCTAGTAAAACTACCTGGCTTTAAAGAAGCAGAAACATTCCTTCGGTCTTCCTGACAAAAAGATGGACTCACTCACAAGGGAAAGAAAAGTAAGTTGTCATCAGACTTTATTACAGACACCAATAATTAGCAGACTACAGACTTCTCATTGGCAGCGATTCAGGCCAGAAGACAGTGGAAAAATACCTTCCATTGTTGAGGAAAATAGCTGGCAAGCCAGAACTCCATATTCTGTGAAATTGTCATCACAGAGGACAGGCGAGTTACTGCTCCTCCTGGGAAGGAGGGGCACAGGACTAGAAAGGCTTGGCTCAGAGACTTGTCTTTGCTGAGCAGGAGACTGTCAGGTGAAGACAAAAGGAGAGCAACGTTTTTGGGTTGACCAGGCACCTGAGGAGGCAGTCAGCTACAACAAGGTGGGCCATGTCTGAGAAACCATGAGAAATTTGGCGTGCTAAGAGAAAATGGTGTACAGGCAGGTTAAAGCGGGGGCTTCGGAAAATTAAGGTAAGGTCAGGTTATGAAGAGTTATGTGTGCTCAGCCAAATAATTTAGACTTTTCACATGAGTAACGAAGACTTTTATGCAGTGGATTTCTAAAGCGGATTTTGGGCGGGGAGTACGCAAACAAGAAGACCACCACAATTTAAAAAAAGACAAAACAATCCAGTTAAGATTCCACTTCCACTGCCACCCATTCATGACATCCCCTGACTTAGCTACATATCCTCCCCTGTGGACTCTGCACATACCTTTTATGATGCTGATTACATGGGATTATAATTCTGTATTTTAATTTACTTGCCTAACTCTCCAATAGACTATAAACTCCTTGAGTGCATCCAACACTTAAAACAATGTTAGATGCTCAGCACTAGGTAAGTGTTTTCAGAATAAATGATTAATTGTGTGCTAAGAGAGACAGCAGACAAAAATCTTCAGGCATGGGACTGGTGGATGATATTGTTATCCACTGTGAATACATAAGGTAGATTGTTTCTCAGGTGAAGGTGTTGGAAATACTGAGAACCCTTTTAGATGCAATAATGGTAAACTACCACTTACTGAATACCTCTCAGTGCTGGGGACTATTGTAGCACTCTAAACCAATTAGTACTTATAACAATCCTATAAAGAAGGAGGCCTTCTTTCTATTTAATAATATTATGGCCATTTGATAGATGCAAGATTGTATGCTCAAGCAGGTTATCCAAGGTCCTGCAACTAGTATAGTGAAAGGTAATTAAAAGTTACCTTTAGGGTTATGTGATCATAATTAATGCTTCTTAGGCTACACCACACTATTCCCCTTTAGGTAGGTGTAAGACATTCAGGTGGCAGCTAGCCTGGCACTCAAGAAAGAGGTTTGGAAAATATTAAATATGTTGTCTATAGTTGGTAGCTGAAATCATGAAAATAGATGTTTTGCCATGCAGAGTGAAAAAGGTAAGATTAAAAGAGGACTAAGGATAGTCCTAGGAACCTCTTGAGAGTGACGTTAATGTGAATAGGGAAGAAAGTTCTAATATGTTTGTTAAGTTTCTTAGGAATTGCAGCCTGACAGGTTAATAAAATTACCCCCAATATATTCCACCTACATGATGATTTGGGACTACATACTGAAAAATGTAGTCCCAAATCATGGTAGCTTCCATGAAAAATACCTTGCCCTCTAAATGTGTTTGAAAGCTTGATATTTTCTACATTATTTGAATGCTTGCAAAAAAATACCTAAAGATTCATCTTTTCTGAATATGCAATGCTGTTACATATGGTAAACACTGAGAGGATACGTGTTTCCTTAATTATGACATCTCTCGTGGCTTGGTGGAAAACCATCTGGTAGAAGACATAAATTATCTGGCAGACAAATTCATCATCTTCTTGTTGAGCTGAAAGGAAACAGAAAACTAAATAAAAAGAATACAGTGCTTATCTACAAAATTAAAAAACATTGAGTAAAAAAACCCCTAAAAATGACAATGACACAGACAGAAGACAATTAGTTTCAATTCTTTATAATACATGGGTGGTAGATGTCACTTATGTTCTAGGTGTTTTTCTAACTTACATGATGATGACAGTGAGAAAATTCTTAATATATTTTTAGAAGTTTTAATAAACTTGGTTGTAGTTAAACTAAGTACGTTAAATTACTTTGGAGTGCAAAGATAAAAAAGATTTGAAAAAGAAAAATATCACATCTGAATTTAAACCAGGGCACTTGAGATGACTCATCGCCACAGACCAGGCTGAAGAACTGAGGAACAAGACTGGTTTAAGAGAACAGCAACAGTGAAACTGATTAAACAGACTCTCCCTAATGGGAAACAGCAAAACTTATTTCCACTTGTTTTTGTTTTTGTTTGTCCGTCATAAGAATTCTTTAAACAACTCTAATTTGTGAAATAAATCTGCTTCTCTTTTCCTCACCAAATCAGCTGATATCTTAATCTTGGACTTCCCAGCCTCCAGAAATTTCTGTTGTTTAAGCTACCCAGCCTGTGGTACTTAGTTAATGGCAGCCTGAGCAGACTAATACAAGGTCCTAGAAAATTTGGTCCTAATAGAGTAATATTAGATTCAGATCTATTTTGTGTGCAATATGGAGAACAATGAGTCCATTAAAAGTATTGCAAGGGGAAGAAGAAGACTCTACTGAGGCCTCTACTACCCACTACTGTAACCATGTGCCACTGTAGCTAATTAAAATTTAATTAAATGAAAAGTCAGGTTCTCGGTCTCAGTAGCCATATGTCAAGTACTCAAAAGGCACATGTGATAGGCTGATAGAGGACCCTCTCTTCACTGCAGAAAGTTTAGAGGATAATACTACATCTGGACCTAGGAGGGAGTATGATGCTTGAAATTAATGTCAAATAAACTTTCCTGATTAGAAATCAAGACATTAAAAAAAAAAAAGGGTTTGCTCAAGGTAGGCAATCCAAATACAAAGTTCAACAGGAAGCAGAAATGACAGAACACTGGTTGATCGAGGCTGATGGGAGGAAGGCAGCATCTAAATTTAGCCCTGAGTCCTGGGCATCATCTCCAAGCCCTTAGTATGTGAAATGTTAAAGGGACTTCTCTAAGAAAAAGAAGATCAAAACTATGAACAGTAAAATGTCAATAAACTCACAATTATCAACAACTTAATCTAAAAAAAAACCCAAAAACAAACTAAGCAAACAACTAGAACAGTAACAGAATCATAAAAACGGAGATCACATGGAGGGTTATCAGTGGGGAATGGGTTGGGGAAGAACGGGGAAAAGGTACAGGGAATAAGAAGCATAATTGGCAGGCACAAAATAGACAGGGGGAGGTTAAGAACAATATAGGAAATGGAGAAGTCAAAGAATTTATATGTATGACCCATGGACATGAACTAAGGGGGGGAAATGCTGGGGGTGGGGTGGAGGTTGGAGGGGGATAAAACAGAGAAAAAAATGCGACAACTATAATAGCGTAATCAATAAAATAATACTTAAAAAAAACAGTTAGCCCTAATCACTCCATAGCAACATTCTTTTTTTGCTTCGGGTCAGAAAATTGTATACTTACCTGGCTAGTAGCCGAGCATGTGAATAATCTAAGAAAGTTAAGTGTATACATGCATAGGCTTGTATTTATAAGACTGGACCAGAAATGTCAAAGGTGTGAGGGAGAGCATGTGGTATGGTAGACAGTAAGAATATGGGCTCTGGAGTCAGAGACCCGGATTTACCAGTGACACATTTGGGTTCAGAAAGCAAAATGTTAGCAAGTGAGTGCCCTAGATTAAGGTAAAATTCAACATAGCAATGTTCTTAACTCTTTGATATTATTCTATCTAATCCCAGTAAAAGTTATATTTAATTTATTTTCATAACCATATAATTTAAGTTGCTATAATATCATTAATGTAACAAGACAAATAACATTTCATGATTCCAGATTCTATTTTATATTAAAAAATTTAAACTCATAGCCTGTTGATATAGCATAAAAATAAATTAAGATAAATTATATATCACCATTCAGCAATTCAATGAGCGCAGGGATGATCCCAGACTTGGCTAGCAATGCGGCACAGGAATCATCCATAGACACTGTTCCAATCATTATCACCACTTCCAAAACGAGGTCATCTTCGGCAGCGCCTGTTAGAGGCCAATCACAGAAAGTTTTCATGAACAAGAAGAAGAAGAAGATTCTGAAAACTATGAAACCAGTTCTTATGAACCTTAACATGATTATATGTTTGTCCTTTTCCAAATTTCCATGTCCACTGAGGACAGTTTGTGGTTGGGGAGGGCAGTAGAAAAGTAGAAATTAGTCTTTGGAAATACAAATGAATGACAATTTCAACAAAGGAATTAGAGAGTTCGCTTGAATGCTCCAAAGAATTGTGTGTGTGTATGGATACATACGAGGGGGGACCCAAAACACCCTGGAATTTATTTATAAAAAATTGTGTGCTTATTCTTACATGTTTAAACTTCAGTCACCTTCAAAGTACTCTCCATTTGGTGCAATACACCTATCAAGACATTTTTTTCCACTGCTCAAAACAGCTTTTGAACTCGTTGATTCTAATGCCCTTTAGTGCTTCTGTTGTTTTGTTTCATCTCTTCCACATGGGCAAAACATTTCCCTTTGAGGACTTTTTTCATCGAGGGAAACAAAAAAAAAGTCGCTCAGAGCAAGATTGGGTGACTAGGGACGGTGGGGCATAGGGGTCATGCCACTCTTGGTCAAAAATTGCTGAACGCTCAGCATGGTGTGGGCAGGTGTGCTCGTAAACCACCCATCATGAAATGGGAAAACACACTGAAAGAATCTTCAGAAAAATTTCACTGAAGCTGGACGCAGCCTCTCACAACAATGCCAGCTGGCACACAGATACAGACAGGTTCCCAGAACACTCACCTACCAGGAAGCCTGTACTACAAAGGGCCTGCCTTCCAAAAGATAGTTCTGGTTTTTTTGAGGTCTCCCTCATATGCATGGGCAGAAGGAGATGGCATTTGGTAATTTTTAAAAGGTAGGATTTAAAAAAAACAAGAAAAATTTTTAAAAATTTTAATTAAAAATTAAAAAAAGAAAGAAAGAAAAGGAAAGGGAAACTAATATTTGTTGTTAGGAAAAAAGAGTACATACATATAAAAGGAGGCCTACTGACAACTTTCTGGGAGGAAGAAGCTAGAACCAGAGGTGTAGGGGGAAATGTGTTACCCAGTACAAGGTCACAACATACTGCTCTAGCAGCCTTATCCATGACACAAAGAAATAATTTAATTAGACAAAACTGAGAAACTCAGCACTGACCTGGTTTTAGTTTATCCTTGAGGTATGGAACCAGCTTGTACTCTTTAAGAACCAATTCCCAGTCTAAGTCTGGAATGGTCAAATTTGCAAGTGTTCCCAAACACTCAATCACAAACTCCTCCTCTTCATCATTAGAGATCTGGGCTGCAAGATCTCCAACATAATCCTGAATAAAATAGAATTTTAATACAAATTTAAAATATGATATCTGCAGAAGACCCAATCTAATAATTTAACCCAAGGGAAGGAAAAATAAAGTATCAAACATGATCCTCTTGCTTTAATAATTTTGAACTGAATTGCTAAGGGAACGAATGGTGAACTAGTTTAAGGTAAGAAAACTGGAGTGAGGATGGACGGGTGAGGGGTAAGGATCATACAGCAAAAGCAATGTTAAAACCTAGGCTAAAATTTGTAGGAGTTAATCTTACAAGGAGGTTGATGACAGGAAGCCAACTTGGGTTATGAGTTACTATTTGATGAGAGCTCGGGAAAAGTTACATTTCAACAGACAGGCCAAAAAACTATACTTACAATAAACAAATTTTTAGTTGGTCCATCGTGTTGGGAAATGTTCCTGATCATTTTCATCAGCAAGGGGTCCTTGAACTTCAGAGCCCTCTTCATGAGCATCTTTAGCCCATTTCCTGAGAGAGGAAAATCAAAGATTCTCCCAATACAATTAAGGTTCACTTGAGTTTAATAATTTTTTGTTTTTAGCTTACAAAAAAATCCCCAAACAATTTACATGCAGTAACACGCAGAAACCTAAGTGTCTGATGGAGCCACCCTGACAAATGCGCCCCTGGGTGATTCATGCCCGTGACAAGGCGCAGAGCATCGCTGTTCACTCTGGAGTCCCCTCTGCCCCGGCAGTCCTGTTCCCCAAACACAGCCACTGCGCTTATCTTCTCCTCCTTCTCTTCCTCTCTTCCTTCTCTTTCTTATAAGCATAGATTAGTTTTCCCTGTTCTAGAATTTCACATAAAGGGAATCACACAGTATGTGCCCTTTTGTATATGGAATATGTGCCACAAATTTAAAAAATGGAAATGCTCATTGATCCAGAAAAACAATACTTCTAAGAATTCATCCTAAGAATATAGAAATGGAAATGTGGAACACCTCAAAGAAAGGAAAATTATTGCATCATTGTAACAGAAAAGAAGTGACAACCAAGTAAATATCTAAATTAGCAGATTAAACTATGGGAAATCCTTTAATGGATTATTTTGTAGCTATTGGCAATCATGGTTTATAAAAGTACTTAATTACATGGAATGATATTCAATGTATTCCATATATTAACTTAAAAAATGTCACAATACATAGAGAGAAGAACCTCATTTTAATTTAAAAATTTTAGCTATGCTTATCTCTGGATAGTGAGAGTAAAGAGTTAATTTTTCCTTATTTGCTCATTTGTACTTTTTGTAACAAACATGTATACTTTTCAAATAAGAAAAAAACTATCAAGGAGACTCTGAAATACCACAATGCATGACAAGCAATTTTGTGAGGATAGCATAGGAAGGAATACCTGACACATTTATCTTGTACTATCCTACAATGTAACAGATTGCTTTGCAAATTAAAAATTTTCTTTCATCTAGAAAATATTTTTAAAAATCAAATTTCTAGTAAGGGTAACTGACCTTGGTTTTTAAAATGTTACTGCAGGATGTTTCTAATCATGGTAAGAATATTCTGAGTCTATCTGAACTTTAAGATTATAGCTATAATTTAAAAAACCCTTTAAAAATAGAATTTATATAGTTACCATAATTCTTAATTTCTTATTATCTATTTCCAATGGCCATACAATAGAGGTTATCTATGAAGTCCAGAGACACCAACCTTCACAGATGAGCTGTACATTCCTTTTGTTAGCAGCAAGGTTAATGCAGAAAGAAATCAATTCCAAGTCAATTCGTTCATCTGAACATTCAAAGAGCATCTTCATTAACTAGCAAGAAGCATAAGGAATATTTTACTCAAAAAGACATACACACATAGAAATAGTATCACTATTTTATCACACTGTGTTATCTTGGATTGTATGTTGGAAATAATATCACAGAATTACATTTTCAACATATAGCAGTAGTACCCTCTCACCGCTGAATAATTAAATGAATAAATGGTTAATGAACTACTAGATGCCCAGCATTTGAGTATAAACTTCAAAGTGGAGAATACAAAACAAGTATTAAATAAAGTCTATGCATTTAAGGAATTTGAAGTTGTATAGAAGTAGAGCATTCTGAGCAAAGACAACACTGTGGTCAAATTTACAAGGCAGGAAAGAACAGACCCCACTGAAGAACTAAAAGCAGGCAAGCACGGATGGGGCGAAAGGAACAGTGTTGAGAGATGTGATGGGAAAAACCAGCTCATGCAGCATCTTGAAGTACATGTTAAAGGATTTAGGGCTTCATCTTAAAGATAATGAAAAGCCATTAAAAGCTTCTAAATAAGGAAAGTGTCGGGAGCAGATCTGGGTTTCAAAAAGATCTGGCCAGTGTAGAAAACAGGCTGAAACAGGCTAAGAAAAGCCCAGGAAAATGCGGTAGGAGGCTGGAGGAAACACCCAGGTTCATGGTGGTCCTCTGGGCTGGGGGATGCTGTGGGGACAGAGGTGAAAGGATGGATAGAGATGTAGTCAGGAAAAAGAATCCAAGTGGGACTTGACCACTGACTAGCTGCAGGAGCAACGGGAGAGGGCAGGTCCACGGCGGTTCCAGGTCTCCCCACCGACAGGGGTGGTGATGCCCACGTTTACCAGAAAGAGAAAAGAGAAACCAGAATAGGAGGAAACTTTAAAGGGAAAACAGGGATTTTGGTCTTAGATATGTTGAATTTAAGCGGCCTATTTAATAATCTAGTACCTATTTAGTAAAATTAATGCATGCAAGTCTGAGTTTAGAAGAAATGTTTGGAGGGATACTGTTAGGAAGCGTCACATATGGTTGGTACTGAAGCTGTAGGCACTCTCTGGGCATGGGTGTAAAATGGGGGAAGAATTTTATTTAAGGTTAAGGGAGCGGGAAGGAGGGTCAGAGAAGCAGCAGATAGAAAAGCAGGAAGGAAAGGGTAGGCCACCTATGCCATTTAGCAGCAATTTAGATTGGGTATGGTGAGAGAGAGGCTATCATAAAGGAGAAATGAACAAACTTTGTGCTATAGTTTTGAGAAGCCAGTTTTCTATTATTAGCAAATCAGCAAATTAGCTTAGTGTATATTATGTCAAGATATTTTTCTCTAAGTCAAATTGTTAACAACACATAGGATTTAATTTATAACCTAAAATGTTCTTGTTTCTTTTCAGAGCAAATACCTTTTTAGATCAACATGCTTTCCTGAATCCAGCACAGTGCCTTATATATAGTAAGTAAATAATAACTATTTGTTGACTGGTTATACCCTATTCTATTAAATCTTGTTTTGGTTATTCTCTATGTTAGTTCCAGGTTTCTAAATTTCAAGAAAGATACGTGGTCAACACACAAAAAAATCAATCGTATTTCTATGTGCTAGCAATGAGCACCTGGAAACCAAATAAAAAGCACAAATCCATTTAACAATTGCCCAAAAAATAAAATATGCGTAATTCTAACAACCATACACACACATATGTGCGTGTATGTGTGTAAAATTCACTATATGCTGAAAACTACAGAATAGCACAAAATACTATAGCAGGTCGGCGCGCGTCACACCTCTTCCCAGACGGCAGCTCTTTAACCACGAACACTGCCGCTGATGGGATCTCTGGGTAAGGAATCATTACACTTAATGCTACAGACTAAAAGTTCTATGGCAAAAATAAAATATCTAAATTTATTGGATATACATTTAACAGATTTGCTATCTATCTATAAATTAACTGCCAATTAAAGTAAATTACAAATTAATAAAAATGTAGGTGACAATCCTCCAATTACTGCAATTAGTATGTTTCTCCTACTCATTAAAAACCTACTACTATATATTTCTTCCAAACATTTACTGATACAAGAAGCTTTTTGTAATAATAAAAATGTTACATCAAAGCAAAGTTTAAGAAGGCAAATATCTGTTGCTATTTACTTGAAAATAAATCTGTAGTATGAAAACTGCCCTTAAAATTGGGGTTTCAAGTGATTTGTTTAGAAGCTGAGAGTTTTCATTTTTTTGTAATATCCATGTTACATCCTGTGGTAAAATGATCAGGAGCTCGATTTCTTTTTTAAATGATTTGAAATCTTATCCAACCCCCACCCCCCAAAATCAAGAGAAATTAGGACTAAATGTGAATTAAATGTACCATGATATAGAATTAGTTTTTCATAATAAGAAAGAGAAACACTTCAATTTTAATTAAAGCATTCACATTTTAAAATAATAGTTTAGTTCAAACTCCATGTGCCACATGATGTCTTTAATTTGATTGCTACCCATGGCACTTCAAAAGTAAGTGTAATTGCTGACAACTAGGAAATATTAAAACTAGATTTGTTCTGCTTTAACTATGTCCATTGTCATCTTTTACTAATTTAACAGGAAGGCACTAAAAGGGCTTCAGCCTGTGCAATGAGGAGGCAATAGTGTTCAATCAGACAAGTCCCATATTGAGTATCAGATACCAAAGACCCACGACTGAAATCACTGTGTCTAGACTCTCTGGCACCTGACTTTACTTATTTACCAGTGACCAGAGGCCAACCCCCACAGCTCTCTGCATTCACATACACCTCCACCACCCCCAACCCCCTGCCCGAACATCTTTGAATGATTATGGCAGAACTTTGCATGCCTCAGGAATCTCTTCTGACTGGCTACTCCCTAACTCTGCTGTTTGAAGTGATGCTCTGGTTTCTGAACTTCAGCAGATAATGGCAGGCAGGAGCAAAGGGGGCTGTCAGAAAGGACGTTTACCAGCATTCAGCTAAAAAGAAGCATGTAGATCAAAGAGGGGCCAAGCAGGACAACTGTGGTGGAAAACATGTGGGTCACTATGAAGATCCCTGCACACTGTTCTAGGGTAAAATATTAAATAACACCATGACATCATAACCTAAACATGTACTTTGATTGGCCACTCCATTACCAATAAATACTTTTATAAGCATCTGGATGGCATTTGCACCTATTTAAACAAAGCATGCATCTTAGAGGTCTAAATAACAATGAACTGTTAATGTGTACTTTTAACTATTATTAGAATACAACTATTAACTCCTGGTTATCCCCAAGTATGCTTGCCTAAAACAATTCACCCACTGAGACCTTTAAGATCATATGTAAAGGAAGTCTTGCCCTGGCCCCCAAATTTTGCAGAATACTGATATAATAGGGAAAAAATGAGAATATATTGGATAATTAGAGGCAATAAAGTACAAAAGAAGCAAAACAACATAATATTAGGAGAGATTATAAGGCACATTGAATGTATAATCACTTACTTTGAATGTTAAATAATTTTCAAAAGTGAACTCTAATCTAATTATAGGTTTAAACTATAAAACACATATAAAGAGATCAGCATTTAAATTGGACTATAGATGGGTCCTAAATGAGAAAAAGATCTGATACTTTACTAATAGTACCTTACTTTTGCATAGTGTTTTACAGTTTAGAAAAGCTCCTTGACTTATAGCTCATATCAGAGTGAATATATGTCACTCATAACATAATGAAAGAACACGACCAGACAGCACACTCTTTGATCACTGAGATGAATGTGAACGACTACTGAACCACTGCTTTCGCACTTTGGAAGTGGCAATATGTGGCGATCTTTACTAAACAAAAAAGTAATGTGCATAACCTCAAAGTGAACAGAGTATTATTGCATTAACTCTAAAACATGCTGATCCTCAGATATAGCTTTATTTAATAAATAGGTTAATCAGCTGTCACAAATGAGCTTGAAGCTCTACTGGTGTTATAAACACTACTTCAAATAGCCAATACCTCTGAAAGGAATATCTTTTTAATTCCTGAAGGGAGCTTCGAAAATTCTATTTAATTCCAGAATTGCCTTCCATGATTCATTCATTTTACAATGAAACTGAAACTGGGGGGCAATCAAATCATGTCAACTTTTCTGTAAATATGTCTAAATTGAGCCCTATAAAGTACAAGTCACAGGTTGGACAGCTCTTTAGGAACAAATATATTCCAGAGTATCATTTGGCTTCTCATAATTTGGCCTTATACTTCACGATGTTCATGACATAATTTGATAATATAACCTCACCTAGTCCTGTAAGGGTTGAACTTTTAAAAAGAAAAAGAAACAAAACTGTTGACCACGAAATGAGTTTTAGAAGATTCTGTTCGTAAAATACACATTATACATGTTCTGAAAACCTCACTGCAGTGATGTTTAATGTTATAAAACTATCTGGCAGGAAAACATGCATGAATATTGTTCTTAAAAAGGTATGAGAGGATTTTCTACACATAAAGCTGTCAACTGCAATAGATGATAATAATGTCTCAAAGGTAACCTAAACAGCCTCTTATTTCTGATTCTTTATTTAAAATAAAGTTTTATATTTTATGTCTGAGAACATACATTGTAAGGGAGAAGGGTGACTCCAAATTCAAGATTCAACAAAGTAAGTTTTTCCATCCCTTTTTAGTGTATATTTCTCTTTTTAAATTTAATGTTATTCTTTTAAAAATCTAATCTGGATAAAAACAGTCAATCTAGGCAAGAATTTTATTCTTTTTTGGCTGCTTCCCAATTCATATCCTGTAGTCAATGAAGTTCTGACACTAAATGGGATTGAAAAAGGAACACTCTTTGAAACTGCAAAGCAGAAACCCTGGGAACATATGGAGTGAGACTGTAGTAAATCACCTGTAATCTCCCTTTGACATGGCTACTCTTTTATTGAAAACTTGTTTGACAAAAAGTTTGATTACACATCGCACTGGCTACAGTCTGACATGTGTTATCTCTATAAGAAACCTTGCCTTGTTAGATAAAATATGCTGTATGTTCTTTATAGGATGTCTATTTCCTATAAACAGGCATAATTAACTTATCTCCTGACATAAAAGGCTAAGAAATTATCCTTGAGAATTTATCAGTTTTTTAACTGCATGTAGATAAAGTTAAAATTATGGTATATAAAATTCAATTTTTGAACTGTCTTACTGATTTGGAATGAAGCGAAGAATGGTCAATGAGTGAAAACAGAAATTATGGTTTATTTTTTACTACTTATTATATTTCAAGTAATATAAATTTAATAACTAATATGAGGCTAACAAGAAATTACCTTGTAGGAGCCTTAAGAGTAAATTACCTTTAATAAGTATAACCTACTATACATATTCTTCCAAAGTGTTTTTGAAAGTGTTATTTCTATAGTATATTATACATTCTGCAATTTTGGTTTCTCTATTTTAGAAAACCTTTTTAAAGAAAATTAATGTAACACTAAAAATCAGCCCAATTAGTGTTTTCATTATCAGATAATCAACTTACTGGAACTCAGTTTAATAAAGATTAATGGTGCACAAGTTATTCTATGAAAATAAATTTTGCAAGAGTAAAATCATAATGTATAGAATCTCTGCCCTTACAGTCTTTGGGGGGAAAAATTGCTAAACTCCTTCAAGACAAGTAGACTTAACATATGAAATATATCAAGCAACTGAGAACAGTGCTATAAAAATAAAATAATTTTGATAAAGCATTTTTCCATCAGAGAATGCAAAGCAGTTAAAACCATCAACCATAACAGAATTAAAGGGCAAGTGACTAAGTTGGGAAATGTTTGTAATATGACAGAGTTAAAATAGTTATATATATAGATCTTATTTATTAATCATGAAAATATTAACATGACAATGGAAAAACTGGCAAGGGACATGAACAAATAATTTATAATATAATATGAATAATAAACATATAAAAATGTTCAAGCTCACCAATATTCACAGAAATGCAAATAAAAAGAAACAGACATTCTGCTTTTAGAGAAATGATAATATCCGGTGTTGTTAAAAATGAAATGCTAGTTGGAAATACAAACTTATGTGTTCTTAGAAGGTAATTTGGCCACAATGTGTCAAATACATAAGTGGTCTTACCTTTTGACCTAGTAATTCTACTTTTAGGAATTTAAACTAAAGAGAAAACAGAGAGATGGAAAAGCATTTGCATACTGTGTTATTTATTTCCTGTTTTTTCATTTGCTTACATGCGTTTACTTACATCTGTTTTTAAGAGATAAACTAGAAAAAAGCTAAACATACAATTTAAAAATATTTAAATTATGGTACATTTATGCAATAGAATATTATATAAACTATTAGCAATTTTTGAAGAAAGTTCAATGGCATGGGAGAATACTTATGGTCTATTCAGTAAATAAAGTGATCTATAATTACATATAGCATATAATCCCAATATATTAATTTTTAACAACGTAAAAGGAAATGTACCAAAATGTTAAATGATTATCTCTGCATTTGGGATAACAAAGTTATTTGCACTTTATACTGTTCTATATTTATAACAAATTTATATTATAACGGATTTTTTAATGATTTCTTTTTTAAGGAAAAGGACATCTGGCAAATGCAAAGAAAAGAGTGAAAAACAAATTTTTGGAATGCTCTTTTTAAAAATTGGAACCACTTACCTGGGGTATACAGTCAGTGTATGCAAACATTGATTTAAAGCGGTCATCCATGCTTATGTGATAGAGGACACACATTGCTATCTGTTTGTAGTTTTCATTGCCTGGGAATAAGAAATCATAGAAATGGAAATTGATATTTATATGATTGATTTTTTTTGGGTATAACACATTAAATTAATGCATTAAAACTTATAAACTACTGAATCAAATCCTCATGTAACCCTCCTCTAGAAAATATTCCAAGCTCCCTATTTCAATCCCAAAGCATGGAGCTAACTATCTGTGAAATACCATTACTTTCTACGAGATAATGTATATTTTGCAAGGTATATTTTTGGATAAAAAATTAAGCCCAAATCTAAGAATTAATCATTTTCAGTAGCCCACTATAAAATTGGCCTCCCCACCCTTACTTTTAAAATCAAAATATATGATTAACAGTCTTCACTGAAAGTGATGATATATAAGAAATAGTAAATAAAAAATGTATTTAATTCCTGGAAAAAGTCAAAATCATAAAATAAGTAGAATAGTATTGTAATATTAAAAACTGCAGAGTGACTGCCCTGGCTGGATGCCTCAGTTGGGTGGATCGTCATCCTGTACACGAAGAAGGTTGAGGGTTCAATCCCTGTTTGTGGCACGTTTGGGAGGCAGCCAATCGATCTTTCTCTTTCTCTCTCTGTCTCTCTGCCCCCCTCCAAAATCAATAAACATACTCTCAGGTGAGGATTAAAAAAATACATAAAGATAAAATGCTAAAGGCTATAAATAAACTAAGCATAGTCTATAGTGTAAGGATTGTCTCAGAACCTCTGAGGTAAAATAATTCTAGTTTTATATATGTTGAAACTGAAAAAAGAAAAGTGAATGATATATCATAGATTTGAAAAATAAAATGATGCTTTAATATGCTATGTAACTATTCTACCTGTTTTCAGATAGAACATATTTTAAGGACATATTTATGATTTCAAACTCAATGACAAAACTTGAGATGGAAAAGTTGCTTAGCTGAAAAGTTTTATCCCAAAAACAGTATTCTTTTTAAAAATTCTGGGCTATAAGAATTCCTTGAAAATATTTAGAGTTAAAAAATCAAGCATATAAGTAATTTTAGTTGATAAATAATATATCAAGAAGATTGTTAAATATATTTTAACAGAGAGAATTCGGCACCTTTATCCTTGTGTCTACCATTGCACAAAATTACCAGAATAGTGTTTTTAAAAATACTGTTTTATATTCTTATTGAATTTTGTCAACTGTTACATATATTTTAAGGTGGTTATAAATTCTTACAAGGTATAGTAAAGCAGATGGAAGCTTTTCAATAAATGATTGATTCTATTTTCAATATTTAAACAGCATGGTGACTGTAGTTAACAATGCTGTATTATATATTTGAAGGTTACTAAGAGAGTGGATCTTAAAAGTGCTCAGCACACACTGAAGAAGGAACTATGTGAGGTGATGGATGTGTTAACTAACTTTACCGTGGTGATAATTTTACAATATATACATATATCAAATCGTACCCCTTAAACTTAGAGAATGTTACATGTCACTTAGATCGCAATAAAGCTGGAAAAAAGAGCAGTGTTATATTTAAAAATCACTCTCACTAAATTGGACAAGAACTGCTACCAAGCAGTGCTTGAGTTTATGAGGAAAACAAGGTAGTAGGAGCTTAAAAGGTGAGCAGAGTGGTACACAGAGGCGGTGCCACTCTGGGGAAGAGCTCTGGCTCCAGAGGCAGATGGTTGGGTTCAAGGTGTGGCTCGGCTACCTGCTGGCTCTACGGCCTTGTGAGTGCTGGTTAAACTCTCAGTGCTCCAGTTTCTTCATCTGTGAAATGGGGACAGCGACTGCACCTAACCCTAGGGTTGCTGTGCGAGGACTGAGGTGACGGGGTCCTGGTAAAGCAGTTAGTATGGGGTGTGACACAGAATACACCAATTCAGTATCATTTTTTGCTATCATAATTGCATCAACAGCAGCATTCTTCTGGTTTACCAGTACAGAAGGAGGCTCGTGTGCCCCTAATATATACTGTCTTTGTGTTTTTTACCCTGGAGACTTGACCACAGTTACAGTCCAAGCAGGTCTGAGAGGCGGCGGCCAAGGCCTCTCTGCGGGGAGCAGGGCGGCGCGGAGATACACTAAGCCGTGGCTGAGCCACAGGCCCTGCTGCCCAGCCACGCTCCTACAAAGCTCTGCTGTGCCCGTAACCCAGGTTTGGGAGAGCCATCCCATGCCAGAGGCTCCACTCTCTCACTCTCCTTGGTTTTTAAATTCCTTAACAAAAGTAAACTTGAGAAAAGAAAATTGTCACAGTATAGATTATTGTCATCAGTGTGTGTGCCTTCACCGCCACCGCCGCCACCACAAACACTGTGACTCTCATCCTTCTTCCAGGCTTCCTTGCATGTCACAGAACTGAATGGCCCTCCAGAGTGAGGCATGGTCGTGGAGGGGATGGGCTATGCGGAGGACGGAGGACACAGAGAGAAGTCTGAGAACATGGAAGACAAAATTCCCAACAAGCTAGGTGACTTCGTTCATCATTAGGCAGCATGTGCCAGGTGATCAAAACCTATAGGTGTTTCCCTCCTTGTTTGGGCTGCACACAACAGAAGACACTGGAATATGACCAGCTCTATACCAGAGATTTTGTTCCTTGAGGAGTGTGTGCAAGCTGGTGATGACAGATCTACGAGCTACCACACTGTACTTGGAGGTCTACACAGCCCAAGCGGCGGATGTGCCTTCTAGATTCTGGGTAAAGGTTCCCTAGAATTCAATCACTTGATTTGCAAAATCTATAAAGCTGATTTCCATCCCTTTTAATATTTATTTAGGGAGTCAAAAGAGCCATAAATTGACCTTTGTCCTTTTATTTGGGAAAAAAAGATATAAATATTTTATAAGTGGTCTTGTTACCCAGATGTTAGCTGGATTTTAATTCAAATCTTGTTACATATCACAGATTTCCTTTCTCCTCTAAAGAACCACAATATATGAATGAAGGTTACAGCATGTATACCACAGGTAACTTGTTCATTGGTTTGTTGATTTAATAATTACGTAAATGATTAACTTAATAAAAATACAGCCTATAACTTTATTATATCAATTTGCAGATCATGTAGCAATAAACATCCATTAAGAGAGATTAAATGGTCCAAGTAAAAGAAGCTAATAATCTTCTTCATTGAATGAAAGGATATCTTAGTTCTTAAAACATAAACCTCAAAAAAAAACCCCACAACATCCAATAGTCTTGTACATGCTAAATGCATTCGAAGAGCTGGAGGGTATGATTTTCTCCTAAGGATTCAGGACGAAAACCCATAAACTCCAGCTAACCAGCTATGATTCCTCCACTTCCTACAAACGGCAGGCATTTCAAAAGGGCTCCTTTAAGACTTACAGACATCAATTATTCTTGAACAACATCCCAAGTAAAAACAGGCTGCCAAGAGTCGGTATGCTGGCACAGCACCAAAAGTGCTGTGACTTCTGAGCAGAGCAGTGAAAGGCTGAATATTTTGAGAACTAGGCCTTAATGACTAGAGGTAGATTAGTCAAATCTGTTCAGGTAATAAGGCCAGGGTGGAAAAATGGCTGAGGCATTATGATTCTTGTGGTATTTATGGTAATAAACATGAATCATGATGAACTCACTGGCTATTAAACGCAGAGGCCGTAAGCACTTCGATAGGACTTCCACAGGAATTCACTGCTAATTAGCTGGGTCATTATTTGAGAGTGTTCCTGAATTGTCCTAGCAGTTGAGCAACCCCAAATGGTCATTCCCGGCTGAGGGCAGCAAACGCCTTCACCAACTGGCCATTAACTTCAGCAACTGATTTTGTGGGAATTATTGGGCTTATAAAATACATTTAAGGGTTTTTTTTCTTTCCTTTTTAAAGAAACCTGCAGCTGTAGTTCAGTTGGAACAGCTGAAGGAGAAAAAAAAATCAGCTCTCCAGGCTGCTCTCACAATCGATATTCTGCCAATTAAAGGGTAAATGCATGCTGATGGGTTTTGAATTATAAAATGTCTTCAGTTTTTTCATCTCTGAAGTGATTAGTAAAAACACCATTTAGCTACTAATTTTGTAAGACACTTGGGATTTTCCATTCACAGCTCCGTCACGTAGAAATATGAGTTCTGAGCAGCAGAGCTCAGGGCCCAGTTTCCGCCTCTGCAGCAGCCCCAGCCCAACACTGTGTAAAAGCAGGGCGAGAACACGAGTTCCGGGCCGCACCATCAGCCAGACTCTTGTTCCCTTCCCTACTCCACGTCTTCGTTCAAAGTAGGGAACTCCCTTTGAAGTCACACGGACTCCGTGAAAAGAGAAGGTAAGTGGGCAAAGAAGCACCCCTCTATTAGGATAGAGTAACACCGAGGCAGTACATTACCCCTAGGAAGTCTGTGTGAACACAACGCAGTTCAGAAGTCACAAATGTCTTTGTTTCCTATAGAGTCAGCACCCTTAACGCTCTTATCAATATAGTGAAAATGCCACAGGCAAAAATATCACTTGAGAGATAATTGCAACTGTTACTGAGCATATATTGAAAATGCTGAAGGTATATTAGAACATCTTAGGTACATGCTTCCATATCACTTTGTGTTTAACTTACTGGATCACATACTGCAGATACCTACCCAGTATAATTATATAGCCTTAGTGAGAACTTGAAATTGGAGAGACCAATTTTTAAGAATGAAACTATTTTGGATAGTCTCCTGTTTTATAATATATTTGTTCACAGTCAAATCTAGTAAAGATTTTAAATAAATAGACAAAAACCATGATTTTTTTAACCATGACTTCAGGGGGAGAAAATAACAATTTATAGGTTACAACGATCGATATGAAAACAAGTTTAACATACTTTTGTGATACAATGGTTCATGGATAATGACTTTTGTGTCCAATTATTTAATTTAAAAGCTATAAGAAACTGAAATTGTAAATCTATCATTAAGCTCAATGGCTCTGTTACATGAAGGTATTCCCTAAATAAGGACTATAAAATCCAACACTTTGATGCATTTTCATTCTTTTTTACTATGTACAACTGTACA